TAGAGCAGACCTTTTCCACATTGTACCTCACATAAACATTGATGTAAACAACTACCTGTAGCTGGAGAGCTTCTCCTGGTCCTGCCTGGCCCACAGTCAGGACAAATCTCTCTCACCCACCAATCCCGCAGCTGCTCAGACCCAAATAAACACACAGATGCCTGTATTATTTATAAACTGTATGGCCGCGTGGCTCAGGCTTCTTGCTAGTTCTTATATCTTAAATTAACCCATTTTTATAAATCTACACCTTGCCACATGGCTCATGGCTTACCTGTACTTTACATCCTGCTCCTCATGGCTGGCAGCATCTCCCTGCCTCAGCCTTCTACTTCCCAGAATTCTCCTCTCTCCTTATCCCGCCTACACTATCCTTCCTGCCTGGCTCCTGGCCAATCAGCGTTTTATTTATCAATCAATCAGAGCAACACATTCCCAGCATCCCCAGCAACTACCCACCAAGGGAAGCACTTCTTAAAGAGCAAGTTCCTTCAGGTGTGGAATCACAGTACGAGAGGGGAGCACAAAAAGAGGACATACTAAGGAGTGCAGGAAGGGAAGCTTTAGGTTCTAGAGTTGTCTAAGTGCTGGCATCAGAGCACGGATCAAGATGCTGTGTGTGTGGGTGGTGGTGGTGGGGTGGGTGAGCACGGGAGTTTGTTGCTGACTCCAATACTAGACTTATTCCAATAAAACCCAGCACTGGGCCAGGCAGTGGTAGCACACGCCTTTAATCCCAGCACTCGGGAGGCAGAGGCAGGTGGATCTCTGTGAACTGGAGACCAGCTTGGTCTTCAGAGAGAGTTCCAGGACAGCCAGGGATACACAGTGAAACCCTGTCTTGAAACTAACAAACAAACCCAGCACTGGATGCTGGTCAGCTAGGTCACTGGATCGGGTGCTTGCACACAAGCAAGGAACTGAGTTCAGATCTCCCAAGCTCATGAAAAACTGGTTGTTCCTGCCTGCAATCCTAGCACTCCTAAGACAAGATGGGAAGCTGAGGTAGGAGAACCCTCAGAAGCTCCTGAGTCAGCTAGTCCGACACACCCAGTGGCCACCAATAGAGACCTTGTCTCAAACAAGATAGAAAATGAAGCTGAGCATCTGAAGAGGTCCTCTGACTTCCACATGCATACCATGGCACGCATGTGCCCACACTTACATATGAAAGCATGCATACACACATATCCAGCCTCAAGCAGACCACTATAGCACCAGATACTGGGACAGTGCTCATGCCTGAACCTCTAAGTTACAGTCCCAGGTTCCAGGCCTGCCTACTGGACTCGGTCACCAGGTCTATATACCTGTGATAGACCATTCACAGCACACCAATGTTTTGACTCACCACAGTAGTAGCTCAGTCTCTACAGACTCCATTTCCCGTTTGTACCCTGTAGTCCCTCCCTGCTTCTGATCTGCTTTCTCTTCTAGGTAGGCCTGCATGCTCCCAGGTTTCAGGACTAAACCCTGCACAAGTCTAGTCCTATAATCCCAGTCATCAGGTAGCTCATAGACCCAGTCTCAAGGGTACCTTCTATGACAGAGGTTCTGGGCCTTTCAAGTGGCAGGTGAACCCCTGTACCCCTAGGTTCTAAGCCCGTATTAGATTCCAGACTATCTCACAGTCAAGGGAGGTTCACAAATTCCAGGTTTCAAGCTTACCTGCGTACCTGGTCAGTACCTCAAACCTCAAAATCTAGGCTTTTTCTCTGCTAGGCCCATCTCTGTGGCTCTACCATCCAGGCTGGCCCTGGTGGCCCCAGTGTTTTAGAAAACTAAGATCATGTACATCCCAGTAGATCTTAGTGTTGGTATGGCCTGTTCAGACCCAAACTCCAAGATAACTTTCAAACCCAGATTTTAGAACAGTCCTCATTGGCCTAACTTCTACATCAGCGTTTGTGTACCCATACCTCAAGCTGGTTTTGAAGGAGCCAGGTCCCAAGCACGTCTGAGCACCATGGGAGTTTCAGGTTGCAATGTGGTTTCTATGGCTTCAGTGATCCTGGAGTTCAAGCATGGTCTTATAGACCTAGGATCAAAACTGATCCTGGTAGATCCCCGTTCCAGACTTGTACCTGTGGACTAAGGCTCTAAGCCAGTCCTAAGAACCCTAGACTACCCCCTGGACCTAAGCTCCAGGCCTCTTTCAGAACCAGGCCAACCTCTGTGGACTCAGACTTCAGAATGTGCTGCATATTCAGGTATAGGCTCTAGACCTCGGGTCCGAGCTCAGCTCTGTGGATGCAAGACAGGTCTGTCTACCTGCTGACCCAGACAGGCCAAGCTGCCTGAAAACTGCAGCAGGAAACCAGTCTACCAGACAGCATGCCCAGGACCTCTGGATCAGTGGACTGCTGGATGGTTTTCCTAGATAAAGCCAGTCAGTCTACAACTTCTGCATGAAAGGGATAAGACCCCACTTCCAAATATATAGTTGTATAGCAACAGGATCTGGAATCATCAGGGAAATGAGATATCCTTAAAAGAAGAAATGAAATGGTAATCACAAATAAGTGGAAACACATGAGCTATCCAATAAAGAATTAAATCATTACTGTCTTAAGGAAGATCAGCAAATCTTTTTTTTTTTTTTTTAAGTAGAGAAATGATTCAGCAATCCAGGATCAGACTGAGAAATTTAAAATGTTTATTTTAATTATAAACTGTTACTATATTTACAGAAATTCCTGATGTGAAAAATAAAATGAGTGAAATGGAAGATAAAGAGCATAAACAGAATTGATCAAGTAGAAGGAAGAGTTTCTTCACTCTAAAACCAGTTGTTTCAAAATAATAGAGCGGGGGCAGGGTGGGGGGATGAAGAAGGAAGAAAGCTCGTGTGATTTGTGAGATAGCGTTAAGAGAGCCAGTATTTGGGTTTTAGGAGAAGCAGACTAAACATGGTATATGCAATACAAAACCAGAAAAACTAAGACTAAAGTATAAAATGTTAGGCTGGGGAGATGTATCGACTGCATGCTTATTTACTTCTTATGCCAAAGACCTGTATTTGATTGCTGTCTTAGTTAGGGTGACTGTTGCTGTGATGAAACACCATGACCAAAGCAACTTGGGGAGGAAAGGGTTTATGTCACTCACAATTCCATATAGTATAGTTCATCATCCAAAGCAGTGAGGGCAGGAACTCAGAGCAGGAACCTGGCAGCAGGAGCTGATGCAGAGGCCATGGAGGGGTGATGCTTGCTGGCTTGCTCCCCATGGCTTGCTCAACCAGCTTTCTTATATACCCTGGGATCACTGGTCCAGGGATGGCCCCACCCACTGTGGGCTGGGCCCTCCCCCATCAATCACTAATTAAGAAAATGACTTACAGTGGGATCTTAGGGAGGAATTTTCTCAATTGAGACTCCCTCCTCTCTGATGACTCTAGCTTGTGTCAAGTTAACATAAGACTAGCCAGCACAATTGCGTTTCCTTATTAAACACTTTTATCTAAAAACATACGTTGTCATCAATAATGGCCTGCACTGTGAGGATTTTATTTTATGTCTGGGTTAGGCATTTCACTCGACTGCTTCTTTCCTTCTTCCCTGATTGCTTTCTTGAACAGTTGGCTTTTGTTTTGTTTGTTTTTGGAGACAGGGTCTCATGCAGCATAAGCTTGCCAAGGCTGACCTTGAACTTCTGATCGTCCCATTTCTACCTCCAAAGCTTGGGATCCTGGGCATGAAATTTTGCTGCTTATGACTTTCTAAATCCCATTTGCAACTGAAAATCCATGTATGACTGACCTCATGGGAATTCTCTAGGAGCAGTTTAACAAGGGGGAAATGGGAGGAGCCTGACTTGGTACTATGAACCTTGTGTGAGCTAGGGGTGTGTAACATGAATTCCTAAATGGTTTTAATAAAATACCTAGAGCATGATATTGAAGCAAATGCTGAAAGATGAAAGAGACAAAGGAACAAGCCACTGCCACATCTCACCTTGTCAACTGAGAACTTCCTCAGCTGAAAAAGCCTCTAGCTGAAAGGGACACTTTTGCTGAAAAGTTCCTGTCTCTTCACACCTTATACCTTTCTCCCCCCAGCCATCACTTCCTGGGATTTAAAGGCATGTGCTGTGGATATCGCTCTGTATGCTGTGAATGTGTTGCTCTGATTGGTTAATAAATAAAATGCTGATTGGCCAGTAGCCAGGCAGGAAGTATAGGTGGGACAAGCAGAGAGGAGAACTGTAGGAAGAGGAAGGCTGAGTCAGGAGACACCAGCCACCACCAAAGGAACAACATGCCAGCAGATCCGTAAGTCACAGCCACGTGGCAACTTATAGAATAACAGAAATGGGTTAACTTAAGATATAAGAACTAGATAGCAAGAAGCCTGTCATGGCCATAGTTTAAAAATAATATTAGTCTGTGTGTGTTTATTTGGGTCTGAGCAGCTACAGGACCAGTGACTGGGAGAGATTTGTCTTGACCTCAGACCAGGTGGGACACAGGAAAACTACAGGCATGTATGCTTCCCAGTCCTGGGATTAAAGGTGTGTGCCACCACTGTCTGGCTGTTTCTCTCCTAGACTGAGTCAATCTCATGTAGTCCAGGGTGGCATTGAACTCACAGAGATCCAGACGAATCTCTACCTCTCGAGTGCTAGGATTTAAAGGTATGTGCCACCACTGCCTGGCTTCTATGTTTAATCTAGTGGCTTGTTCTGTTCTCTGATCTTCAAGCAAATTTGATTAGGGTACAGATTATATCACCACAGGGGTGCAAGGCAGTGAGCTTACATCCCCATTCACCCTGGTCTTGGATGAGTGATGAGGAATTCCATAGGGGAAACCCCGGGCAGCAGCATCTGAAATCTCAGAAGTTTGGAAAAAGGCATAAAGTAAGGGACATCATTGACAGCGAATTGTTTTGCTGATGTTTCGGTTCCTACTAACCATGGATTTATTGGAAGCCTTATACACGGATTCCACACAGTGTTCCATCTGACCAACGACTCCTTTGTAGTGAGTTAACAAAGGCAATGTGTTCATTCTCAGCTATTTTGTTTATCTTCATAGGTTCCCTTCCTGCAGAATCAGCCAGCTTTATTGACAGAAATACTGAAGATGTATTGTGTCCGGCACAGCATAACATCGAGCAAGGTGCTGTCTATGGGCTGATATTAGCTTTCTATTCTTAGACTAGTCTTGGATTCTCTGGAATCAAGGAATAGAACCAATTATAGCTAATGGCCAATTAAAATGTTTTGCTTATATTCTTATCCTGGTTGCTAATGATGAGGACCCTAAGTACTCAAGGGATGAGTGCATCTGCTCAAAGAAAAACAAAAACAGTGAATTGGAAAATAAGCCCATCATCTGTCCACTTGGGTCTACTCATGTTGCAATAATAGAAGATGTTGGTGTTTACTACGTCATTGATCTTGGGTGTAAATGTGACAGTGGGGTATTGGGATTCTGCTCAATGGTAGAGTGGTTGCCTAGTGTTCATGAGCTCCTGGCTCCAGGTCCCTAATACTGAACAAAACCAAACAGGAGACAAGGAAGGAAGCTGCTATTGTGACATGCTGGAATGGTTGGGGGACCTTCTCCTTCTACTGTCCTCAGAGGATACCGAATTCAGCATGCTGTGTCTGGATGTAAAATGTCCCTCTTGGGTTTGAGTGCTTGGGCCTCAGCTCCTGGCACTGTTGGAAGGTGGTGAAACCTTAGGGAGTCTTGCTAGTGGAAGTGAGTCAGTAGGGGCGGCCTCCGGGTCTGATTTCCTTGCCCTGCAGTCCGTTTTCTCTCTGCTTCCCGACGGTAGATGCCTGTGGCCTGCTGCCTCACACTCATGTGGCCATGCCTTCCCCACCGTGATGGACTATATACCTTCTTAAATTGTAAGCTAAGACAAAGCCCTTCCCCCCTTAAGTCGCTTCTTGTCAGTTATTCATTCATAGCAACAAGAAAAATAAATAGCTACTGTAATTCCATACAGACAAGGTTCCCAAGGGTTCATACTACCTATCAAGAATGGAGATATGGGTGATCTCACTAAGAAAAAAAGACTATTAAAGAAGAAAGGAAGTTTTAGCTGTGGCCTATTGACTGAAAGCAGACAGAATGACCAGAGATGTCCTTCCTGCCTGTCTCCTTCTTTGCTGCAGTATTTGTACATAACTGCTCTTGCCATCGGCCCTCTTTCTGACTGAACTTAGAATTTCATGGCTTAAGGTTAGAAAGGCATGTGAATGTCCGTTAATATCCTTCCCCGTTCTTCCCCCTTTTCAACACTGTAGAGACCAAGTTGATCATGCTGCAGTTTGGTCCATTGTTCCCTGGGTATTGAGACGTGAGGGCCATGCTTCTCCGAAGAGTCACCCTCATTCAGAGAATCTGGAATAGAGTCGATGCAAGAGCTGATTCTCTTCCTGTGGGGAGAAGATCCGTGTATTTTTTTTTTTTTTTTTTGACTGTGTGAGATATCTGCATTTGGTTAGGGTAGTTTAAGCAAGTTTAATTGGAAGAAGAATGTAGGTCAGGGATGGAATTGAACTAGCCAGTTTTTAACCCGAAGGGACTCTCCCCTGAGGCTGAGTCCTCCCTTCTGTTAATGTAGATGAAGAGCAAACACAGCCTCAGTCTCGACCATGAGAGCTACGGCACACACACATGTAACCAAGATTTGGCCAAGCAGGTGTTCCCAGTGAGGAACCAGAATTTCATGTGAGAGAAAGAGATGCGGAGATCCTTTAGACCCTTGCAGCATCCACTGTCCTATAGCAGCAGGGTCTAGTTTATGGCCCAGTGACAGTGATGACAGCAATTCACGCAGGCACATCTTAGAAACATCCCCCTTGCCCAAGGCTTGGTGATTCACCTCCTTTAGCTCCCACACATCGTCTCACTTAATTCTAGTTAATCCTCTGAATTCTGTACAGCGTTCCAACACATTGATCCTTTATGTTTACGTTTTCCATTGTGTTTTTTTGCAGTCAAGGGCACTGGCAGCTCATGGTCTACATCCACCTCACTTTCAGCAGAAAATTTGGACCATATGAACGGTATGTTAATGGGCTAATAGTCACATGGTAAATACTAGAGTGGAAACGGATTCTCAGATCTGTTTAATGCCGGCCTGTGTTCCGAGCTGCCAACTGTACTCTCAATAGTTAGTCAAACACAGAGAGCATCACAAAAAACTTCTAGAGAATTATTTTATTGCATAAGGACATAAAAAAAAAAAAACACATGTTGCAGGGCGGTGGTGGCACATGCATTTAATCCCAGTCCTTGGGAGGCAGAGGCAGGTGGATCTCTGTGAGTTTGAGGTCATCTTGGTCCATAGGGTGAGTTCCAGGACAGCCAGAGCTACACAGAGAAATTCTGTTTTGAACCCTCCCCCTGAGAGAGGCGGTAGGGGGGGAGCACACATGTTAGATTGTCACCAGCTATGAGGCTACTGCTTAAACTGTGTTAAGCCTGGCTGATGGGTTAGACAGACGTCTGAGCCATGGTTTCATCACAGAGCTGCTGTTGTTGCTGGTGGTAGGTCTATGGTTCCTTCTTTCAAGACTCTAGACAGGGTGTGTTTCCAGTCCCTTCTCTGCTTGCCAGTGAGCTGTCTCTTTCTTGTGGTTCCTATTTATTATTTATTTTCTTTCACACAAGTGTCCTGTGCTGATTCCCATCTAGACTCATCATTCTCAGGGAGGAATTTTTAGAATGCATATATAGATATTCCCGTTCTTTGAAGAAAGGCATTTCTAATCCACAGGACAGGAAAAAAAAATCCGTATTGAGGACATGGTGAAATGTGACCTTTCAAAGCCCTTGAGAAGATGTCTCATAATTACCCTGGGGGAGATGTCTCACTGTCTGGCTGCTCTTCTCATCACAGAAATTTAGTTCACATTTCTCTGTCCTCAATTTCACCCCAATTTATTTCTTCTATTCAATTCAGTAATGACCCTGGCTGCTGTTTACTCTGTGGACATTTTCCGATGACAAGCACATCTCTCTTGGTTGTTACTCAGCAGAAGTGGCGGGTTCAGAACCTTTTAATCTTTTCTCTTCACATGTCGGTCCCCTTGGCCCCAGGTCAGATTTGGGTTGCCATCTTAACTCTCTTCAGTTTTAGCCCACATGGAAATATAATTAGCATATTGGTTTTTTTTTCCCTGTTTCTGACAAGGATTTTTATGATTTTTTTTTAAGGTACCGAACTTGTTTTTTGAAAGAGAGAGAGAGAGAGAGAGAGAGAGAGAGAGAGAGAGAGAGAGAGAGAGAGAGAGATGAGCTAGAATCTAACAAACTTCATCATTCCCTGGACCATTTAGCCTTCTTTAAAACCCTCTTTACACTGGTTTTGCTTCTCACGATGGGAAGTTAATTGCAGGGCTTTGATCAGATGGTGGGGTGGAGTCTGTGTTGTATGTAGTCCTTTCCCCTAGGCTGTTCATGTCTCATGATAAAGTAAAACCCACATTTTCAGTCATCCCATTGTACTTAACTTCAGGCAACGTTACTTATCTCGAAATTGATTGTTGAATGCTTTAAATGTATCTTCAATGACCTGCTGTTACTTTCATAACCACCCTTCTTTTGAAGCAGGCATCACCTGTGCCGGGATGGTTTCTGTGACCCTGAAATTCCCATCTCCTATACGATCTAAAGCTAATCTTGGCAGCCAGCTAATTCTCGCTAGCCAGCAGCGCCCTTTACTTCAGCACGGGAGTGTTCATCGAGCACCGCACAATTTAACTGCCGATACGGATTAGCGCCGACTATTTACCTATTGGATTGGTTAGAACTGGCAATGGGAGTAATAGTCTTCTTTTTCCAATGACTGGTACAAGCGGCGCATCCCCTGCCAGGTTGAAAAACATATCCGTGAGCTGTTAAATACATCTCTTTCAAGAGACATTTGAAGGCAGTCAGTGAGCAAACAGAAGCCTGCTCAATGTTGCTGGAGAAATGGCCTGGAGAAATGGCCTCATTCGTTAACTGATGTCGTGGGGTGGCATGAAAACGCAGGATGGAAGAGGTCATGGAAAGAAGCCGAGGCATGACCCCAAGTTTCAAGGTCAGAGTACCTAAGGAGAAGCCAGACAACCATTGGTGAAGGTTCAGCCTCAGTTGAATGAAACCCCCCCGGCTGGTAGGGGTCATGGAGAGAAGTTGAGGAGTGGTACCTTCTGTCAGGGTCAGCGTCCCTAAAGAGAGGCCAGGAGGTCATCACGTAAGGCGAAGCCTCAGTCGCAGCAGACTCCAGTATACTAGAGAAGCCAGTGACCTCTGAGGACAGCAGCAGATGTGGAGTGTAGCAGCCCTGAGTCTAGAGGACAACCTGTGTGTGCTGTGGGATTGGACAGCTAGAGAATTGGGGCCACTCAAGCCCCTCTGGAGTACAGAATGACTGAGTCCTAGACATCCGACCTTGAATTATTTAGATTTTTTTTTTTTTTTGGTTTTGCTTTGATCTGACTGTAACTGCACCGTGGTTATTCTCTTTTGAAATAAGAAAATATGTCATTTGTTTTGGGTTTTAGAGGAGCCCGCATTTAAGAGATACTGGATATTTTCAAGAGACTGTGAGACTTTTAAAAGTAGACTGTGCTTTATATTATGTTACGATATTATGTTAGAGATAATATCCCGAAAGAAAGGTTATTTAATAGTGTTGTGTTTGTGTGTCAAGGTGACAAGGGGTCAGTTGTGCTTGTTTTTTTGTCATCGTGACACAGACTAGAGTCCCCTGGAAAGTGGAAATCTCAGCTGAGGAATTGCCTCCATCCGACTCGTCTACGCGGCCTTTTCTTGGTTGCCGACTGACGCGGGACGAGGACCAAGTCCTCGGTAGACAGCACCATCCCTGGGCGGACGGGCCTGGAGTTTCTAAGTCAGAGAGCTGAGCAAGCCAAGGGAAGTAAGCCATAAACCACGGTCCTCCATGGTTTCCGCTACAGTTTCTGACTGTGGGTACCTGTCTTGAATTCCCCGCCCACCTTGGTTTCTCTTGATGATGGACTGAGGGCGACAAGAGGAAGTAACCCTTTCCTACCAAACTTGGTTTTCTAAGGGTTTGACCACAGCAACAGAGGGCAAAGTAGGGCAGATGGGGTTCACGCTGCTCTTGTGAAGGGGTTCACGCTGCTCTTGTGAAGGGGTTCTTGCTGGTTCCCTGGAGCAGGTGACATGAACAGGAATGGATAAGCTCCTGTGAGAACAGGTTTAGATTGCAGAATTAGTGTGATTTCTCCCTTCTCTGTTGTTTGCTCTGACCTCATGTGGCCTTTCTGTCTCCGTCTTTTGTATGTGATCCCACGGCGTCGTGCCATTAGTAAGCTGTAACCAAGTAGAAGACCCTTACTACAGAACAAGTTGTTATTTTATTTTTTTTCAAGACAGTATTTCCTTGTGCAGCCTTGGATGTCCTGGAAATTAGCTCTGTAGACCAGGCTGGTCTCGAACTCACAGAAATCTGCTTGCCTCTAGGTGTGGGCCACCACTGTCTGTCTCAAAGACCAAGTTTTATGTAGCCATTCCCTCTGAGATTGAAATCTCCTATCTCGAAGGGAAGCGCTTTAAACTCAGACCATAAACAACTTCATGGCTCCAGGAAATCCCTGAAACTGATCAGATTCCTCAGACTCTTCTCTCCCCAAGCATAAAGAAGCTGTAAGGTCTGCTGATAGGTGTAGGGTGTTTACCCACCAACCCCACAGCTCCCCAGAGTTTTCTTGAGTGCGAGCAGCAGGAAATATTAGAAGGATTGAGATTGTGGAGATAAACAGATAGAAAATAAAGGATAGCCTTGAGAGGGTCCTGACTGTCTCTGCCCCAGGGCATTTATAGAGACACCAAAGGGTGGAGCAAAAGACCTCCCCCCCTTCCCAGTACAGCCAAGTGCAGACCATCTCAGACACCTGCACTCAGGCCTGTGACCCTAATCATTCTCTATGCAGACCTGCTGGGTTAAGCCACGAGGAACCTGAAAACCGGCTCCCACAGATAGGTGCTTAGAGACAAGCTGGAAGAAGCAGAGACCAGCCAAGATGTCTGGAAGAGACTCAGACCAACTGAGTTACCTGGAAAGACCACCCTCCAAACTGTGGAGCTGCTTACAGGTTGCGTAATGCACACTTCCAGCTTTTGTGAGCTGTCACGCATGCTGGGATGGGCTTTGGCGATGCAAGTGCCTTTGAGTTATTTTCACACCTACAGTAGCCCCTTACCCCTATTCCTGTAAGTAACCCCAATAAAACTCATTGGTTCACCGGTGTGGACTTCAGGGGTATACAGGCTTTGGTCTTTTGTTGGTTGCCTATCTGGGTTGAGGGGTGTTTGCTAGTTTCCCTACAGGAACAGCGTCAGACAACAGCAGAACGCCTGACCTTAGCCCCTCAGCCTCTAAAACTATGAGCTAGAGAAACGTCTCGTCTTTATCGATCACCCAGCCTGACGTGTGTTGTCCTAGCAAACACAGGGTAGGCGGTCTTCACACGGCTAATGTCTTGCGGTCACAAATAAGTTTATTTCCGGTTCTCAGGAATAACTTTCTTCTCCTGCTAGATCAGAGGACAAGTGAGTAGAAATTATTTTAGGAAAAATTTCAGGTTTCTTCAAGCCAATAAAAGAACGGGATATTTTTATTTTACAGGTAATTCATAAATTAATTGTGAGACATGTAGTTACTGACCAAGAGACTTGGTCACTATCTGTTGGGCAGTACCCACATAATCCAGAACTGCTCCCTTGAGGAACACTGCTCATCCACAGCTAGCTGGATCAGTAGGGAGTATTTAGGATACAGGGAGACAGCGTCTTCTACTCCCAAGGCTGTCTATTCCTAGTGTTCTTCCGGTAGTGAAGATAAATGGATATTTTTATTTTGTAAAGGCTGAAAGTTCAAGAGTACATAATATTTTCTTATTTTCCGAGTCATCCTCAGTTGCTTTAAAATTTTTTAGTTACCTTTTATAAACAATAGTAACAGAGTGTAATAAGTACTATAAAGAATATCTTTCCTCTAAATGTTATATCTGGCCATGATTTTCTAATACATTGAGAGGATTTTCAGCCCACTGGTGCGGCTTATAGCGTATTTGACTGGTTCTGTTATAAATTTGATTATGCGACCAGCTTCGCAGGAGAAAGCTTTACCATGAAGCCGTATTACGAACATTTGTAGACTCATGTGAACTGGTATCTCCCAGTTAGGCAATAAGGGCTTGACTAATGAATCAATCAATAACTTAAGGAATGAGTAGACTGCAAGGTATCTCACATTTTTATTGGTAGGTGGTAGGATTACTTTGTTCTGTCTGATACTACTACTGAATACATTTACCCAACCCCTGCAAAAGGGACAAAACATGTTCCCTATCTTCCAGATTAAATTCTTGATTTTAAATATGGTTACTCTTGTTGACTTTATTTTTTTTAAGTTGCATATTATGTTCATTTTTAAAGGATATTACAGTACTATACAATTTAAGAATGAAAATTCTAAATTAAAGTCATTGCATCGGGTAGATGGCTCAGTGAGGAAAAGAGACAGATGTATGAGCCTGATAAGTCACATTTGATCCTCAGAATCCACCAAAAAAAAAAAAAAATACCACTTCGGTAATGTGCATCTGTAGACCTAGTACTCTTTGGCAAGAAGGGGGAAACTAAAGAATTGCCTGGAAGCCTTTGGGCCAGCTAGCATGCGGTACTGTGGTGGTTTTAGTAAGAATGACCCCCATAGGCTAATGTTTGAATGCTTGGTCACCAGGGAGTGGTGTGACCTTAGAAGGTGTGACCTACTAGAAGGTGTGGCCTTGTTGGAGGAAGTGTGTCACTGAGGCTTTGAGGTTTCAAATGCTCAGGCCAGACCTAGTGTCTTTCTCTCTTCCCGCTGCTTGCCAATCTGGATGTAGAACCCTCAGCTACCTCTCCCGCACCATGTCTGCCTATATGCTGCCGTGCTCCCTGCCATGATGATAATGGACTGAACCTCTGAACAGTAAGCCAGCCCCAATTAAATGTTTTCATTTGAAAAAAAAAAAAGTTGCTGTGGTCATGGTGTCTCTTCACAGCAATGGCAACCCTGACTCAGACAGGTCCACAGTATAGGAGAAGAAACAGGGGGGTTCCTGAGAGGAATGACTTCTGAAAGCTGTCCTCTGACCTTGACAAACATAAAGTAATTAAATTAAAATCGTTAAGTCATTTATCTTTGGCTATATAGCTAATTACAAGCAAAGCCGAACTTCTACAAAATTAGAGTTTGTGGTACATTGAAATGGGAAACACAACCCAAAGCACAGCTTTTCTAAAAGTAGAGTGGGCTCTGTCCCTCCTGAGTGGTTTAGACCGAGCACAGCTGGTCCAAGTGTCATTCGTGTCTCACTCACATGGGGTCAAGACAGTCACCATTAGGGAAATAATGACAGCTGTGGCTTTTGCTTGTTTTCCATTTGTGTGATTCAGCAGTATGAGCGAGATGAAGGAAAGTTCACGGGTCAGTCAGTAACTTCCGTTACTTCTGGAGAATTTTTATGACTGTGCGAGAGCCCAGTGTTTTTTGCCTTTGACACGTCTCCTTTCTCAGTTTCATGCATTTCTTGTAGCTTAATTAGTTTTGGAAATCAATACCCCTGCCCTGCAAGGCTCTCAAACCGCAGACTCCGGCTTACAAATGGATAATATGAAAATAGTGGATAAACATGCTTACAGAGCTTCCACCATTTCTTCGTCTCCCCAAGCTTCTGGTACCCTGGGGTCCTCTTGGAAGGATTAGAGCTCATTCCATTAGCACTGACGAGTCCTCAGACTGCTGCACAATGGGTCCCTCCTGCCTTGCTTTACCGAAATCCAAGCCATTAAGATGTGTACGTCCCCCAAGTGACTCAATATAACAAGCCTATACTCGCCATTTCCATCAGTTAAATGGAAAACCCCCATGTATTCGTGTCCTCTCTAGCTTACCTTGAACGCCCTTTTGTTTTCTTGGATTCCTTTGTCTGCTGATAGTCTCCAGTGACTGTTGTTGCTATATACATTTAGAATAGGGTTAAATGTCAGCCTGAGTGGGAGAGAAGATTGTCCTTTTATGAACCCTGCTTCTTCCAAATGGGGAGCGAGCAGGGGTTATATGGCTACCAATGCTCAGAGTTGTTAAAGGTTCAAAGTAGACGTTAATTTGAGCTCCTTTATGAGACTGTTTATTTCTGTTCGCTCACCAATGGGGTACATATTTCACATAGTCTCTGTTTTTGTTTTCCTCTTGATGCAACCAGGAGAAAGTCATAGGACTGCAGAAATAAAAATACCCAGTTAGGATACATTTTCTTAAGCCTGAGAGTGTGGGTTGCACTCATTATTTTTGTCTCTCTTTTACTGTGTTGTGGTCTCCCTTCTCTCTAGGTCTTTGTTTCTGCTTTCCATTTTCAAGGTGAAGCCGCAGGGAATGTTCAGAGTAGTACAGGAGAGTGGGCATTATGCCTATTATACTCCCAACAATAACAAGCGTCGCGCCTCAGCTCATGGTCTTTGGATGAGCCGAATTCCTGTCTCTGCAGACCGGTGGCTGGAACAGCAGTTTAAAGCCTTCCATTGTGCTTAGTTATTTATCTTGTTTCTGTTGGTTTGATTGGGTGTAAACAATATGATTAAATTGTCTCTCTCTCTTTTTTTTTTTTTTTGGTTAGGGCTGCAATATTCCTTGTCAGGAACACGCTGCAGAAAACAGCCTCATTTCATAGCAGACTTTCCTCAATTTCATTTGTCTCAGAACAGAGTGGAACCCGAACAGACCCAGCTCATCCCACATTCTGAACATGAGGCACATTTATCAGCGAAGTCTTGTGCCATTACAGCCATAGTTCGATAGCGGAGGTACCCTTGGTACAGTGTTCAAACCCAAAGAACTAAATTAGCAATAAAAACTTAATATCTTCTGCACTACTTTGTTTTATTGCTAAATTCCTTGACAGCAACCTCCTTCCCAGATCCTCATTCCTCCAGTAAACTGTAATTTTATTGGCAATATATTTAATACAAAAATAATTTTAATATTGTAGAAGATATATCACGATTTGATTGTATAATAAGTTCAACTTTCATTTTCTATACATTTTGATTAGGTTATATAATTGAATATAAAAATAGCAGAAACGCTATTGCCATTTTAAACTACCTTTTAAAATGAAATCAGTTATTTTGTTTGTTTTGAGTTTGAAGTAGCTCAGGTTAGCTCAGAATTCCCTAGGACAATGACCTTGAATTTCCAATCCTCCTGCCACCACCTCCCAGTACAGTTCTGGGGATTGAGACACAGGACCCTAAGCGTGCTAGGCAGGCAATCTACCAGCTGAGGACATTCCAAGCCTGCTTTCTTGTTTATTATTATTATTATTATTATTATTATTATTATTATTATTACTATATGTTCTAAAGTAAATTGGGTATCATATTGATAACCCTGATATGATGAACAAAGAGACATTTTCAAGCAATGAGTAGCTTAGATATAATTATGATAGCACATAGCACTTCCATTTTAGACAAAACTTCATGAGCAAATGTAGAAACAGCAAAAGAGAAGCAAATTCTTTTAAAAATATAACACATGTGCTTATCTGTGTCTGAGTGTGGAGGTCGCAAGACTGCTTGAAGTAGTTAGTTCTCTCCTTCTGTCATATTGGTTTATCTTCATTACTTTCCTATTGCTGTAATAAAACACCAAGACCAAAGGCAACTTGGGGAGGAAAGGGATTTATGGGCAGGAACCGATACAGAGGGCCTGGAGGAGTCCTGCTTACCAGCTTGTTCCTTGTGGCTTGCTCAGCCTGCTTTCTTGTAGCACCCTGGACCACCAGCCCAGGGCTGGCCCCACAGTGAGCTGGGTGCTCCCACATCAATCATCAACCAAGAAAACACCCTACAGGCTTGTCCACAGGCCAGTCTGCTGGGAGCGTTTTCTCAGCTGAGGTTTCCTCTTCTGAATAGACTCTAGCTTATGTCAAATTGGCACAAAACTAACCACACAAGATTCCAGGCATCAAACTCAGACCATCAAGCTTGGCAAGTGCCATGCCAACAATCCAGAACCATGTTCTTGATTTCAAAGAGCTTCCCAATAAGAATCTAAGTATTATCTCATGATATGTTCTTGCACAAACCCCTTAAACGTTGACTCCATGAATTCTTCTTTAACAGTACATCTTGTCTACACATCTTTTGTTCAGTGTCTTTAAGGATCACCATATGTCCTGGTTTCCTACTTGATTTTCTGTTTTTCTTTGCTGTTAGCTGACTGGTGTCTGAGGAATGTAGAAATTAGCTCTCTTCCCAATAACTCCTTCTGGTGTTCCCAATCGAGAACACCACTCCACAATAAATTCTACAGTCTGTCTAAGGACCGCTTTGCTCAGTTTGCTCCGTGGTAGGAATAAAGCTCCATTACATATTAACTGCTTCATTTACATTTTGGCTTGCTGGTTACAAAGCAATTTCAGGTTCATTATCATACTTCATCGTTACCATGGTCCTGAGAACAATGTTTAGAGGAAGGGGTATTGGTCCGATCTCAAACTGGAGTCAAAGGCCACAGCAGCTGTTTCTTTTTTTTTTTTTTTACAACCAAGCAGACATCTATATACCTCACCTCTTTTAATACTCAGGAAACATGTATTGAGTTAAATTTAGAGAGGGTGTTGGGTCCTCGGAGAAAAATACCTCCTGT